CTTTATTTTATAAACTTTTGGTGTATTTATTCAGCTCCAACTAACAAAAAGCATTCCAGAAGACGTTTTCAACTGTCACTGAATCCAAAAATGAAAAGTTGCTTCACAAATATAGTAGAAATAAGTATGAGTGAAAAAGGAATGACACATTCAAGAGAATACCAGTACCTTTCATTCAAATAACCTGACTCTACCCATCAAAAAATCCTATCTCGGCCGGGCGCGGTGGCTCACGGCTATAATCCTAGCTCTCTGGGAGGCCGAGGCGGGCAGATTGTTTTGAGCTCAGGAGTTCGAAACCAGCCTGAGCAAGAGCGAGACCCCGTCTCTACTAAAAATAGAAAGAAATTAATCGGACAACTAAAAATATATACAAAAAATTAGCCGGGCATGGTGGCACATGCCTGTAGTCCCAGCTACTCGGGAGGCTGAGGCAGGAGGATCGCTTGAGCCCAGGAGTTTGAGGTTGCTGTGAGCTAGGCTAACGCCACGGCACTCTATCCTGGGCAACACAGTGAGATTCTGTCTCAAAAAAAAAAAAAAAATCCTGTCTCTTAACACCAGGTAACCAATCACTATCTGATTTCAAAAGAAGGGATAAAAAGGAGAAAACGTTTTAAAGGAGATGAAAAAGAGATATTCTAAAATAAAACTAAAGAGAAAAATAAGTGGGTAAAAAAAATTTTTTTTAAATATCTGAAGCACATAAGAAAGCAGTTACTGGGGCCAGGCACAGGGGCGCTAGCCTGCAATCCTAGCACTTTGGGAGGTGGAGATGGGAGGACAACTTGAGCCCAGGAGTTCAAGCTTTCAGTGAGCTATGATGAGCCACTGCACCCCAGCCTGGGTGACAGAGCAAGACCCTGTCTCCCAGAAAAAAAAAAAAAAAACATCAGTTACTATCAGCTGCTGCTGCTGTATTCCTCCTAGATAACTAAAGAATTCATTTACATGCAGCCCTTATACTGGTCACTCCCTGAATAAACAGGACAGTCAAGTAATTTAAGATGCACATACAGTAGCTAAGTTATGTGCTTTCTAACAACAGGAGGATCGCTTGAGCCCAGGAGTTTGAGGTTGCTGTGAGCTAGGATGACGCCACGGCACTCTAGTCTGAGCAACACAGTGAGGATGACGCCACGGCACTCTAGTCTGAGCAACACAGTGAGACTCTGTCTCAAAAAAAAAAAAAAACTAGTAATAGGAATGTCAACATAATCTCTTAAACAAAAATATGAAATCATATTACCTAAAAATATAAGCAAAGACCTTATCAATACTTAAGGCTATTATAATTTG